GATTAGAGAAGCATTCTTCCCTATATTCAGAAATCTAGTCCCAGAGTTCCCACACCTGCCAGAATCACAACGGGACCCAATCCTACTGGGAGAGGAAGGAGGGAACTCAGTGGAACTGGCAGCCCAGTATGTGCTCTCCTGTCCCAGCCTGAGGAACAGTGAGTCTGTCTCCCAATAATGCTCCAGCCGCCTACAGTATGTCAATATTTTATAATTTGTCTTTGTTGTAAATGTCTGTAATATGTCTATAGATTTTATTTTACTTTTATTTTTTGTTTTGTTTCATGTGAATTTCATTATTTTATTTGCTTTGGCAACACTGATTGTACCCATCGGTCATGCTAGTAAAGCACCTTGAATTGAACTGAATTGAGAGAGAGGAGCAGCACGTGTACGCCTGCGAGAGAGAGGAGGCACAGCGCCGAGAGGAGCAGCACGTGTACACCTGCGAGAGAGAGAGAGGAGCAGCAGGCGGCCGGGCCGGGCCGGGCGGGGGCTCACCCTCTCCAGCAGCTGCAGTCGCTCCTCGCTCAGCAGGTTGCTGTGCGTCAGCTGGGCCACCGTGCTCTCCAGCCCCATCAGCTTCTCCAGGTGCCGCCGGTGCCTCTGCTGCAGCACCTTCACCTTCTTCTGCAGCTCCACCACGATGGCCTCCAGCTGCTCCTTGCTCAGGCCGTTCCTGTGGTACCTGGGGGGGGGGGCGCAGAGAGGGAGAGGGTGAGCGGGGCAATGGGAGCGCCCCCCCAGAGAGCACCAGTCCACCTGCCACTTCAGTTCACCCCAAATCGCCCCAGTCCAAGACGCAGGAGCACCTCTTTATTGCCTTGCAGCTAAAGGTGCTCTCGCCCTCAAAAGATTTGCCCCAAATGACCTGGAAGCGAATCTGTCTGAGCCCAGGTCACTGTCGACCACCCGATGAGAGCGGGGCGCGGCCTCACCGGTGCTCCTCCAGCTGCTTGCCCTGCGAGTCCACGCTGTCTCCGGCCCGCGGCCCCTCCTCCGCCCCCTCCTCCTCTCGCGCCGCGCTCTCCAGCTTCTCCAGGGTGAGCACCAGGGAGCCGGGCGAGGGCGTGTGCTTGGAGACGATGGGCACCGTGGACACGATGGGCGGGCAGAGCGCGCTGGACAGCACGGTGTCGGGGGGCGCCGGGGGGCTGGGCTGGGAGGGGGCTGGCACCACCGTGGCGTTGGGGATGGTCTCGAAGTAGGCAATTATCTGGAGGCCTGGCTCGTCCTCCAGCACGGGAGAGGCGTCAACAAGCGTTTCGAAGGCCACGTTCTCCACCACCAGACCCGGGCACGAGCTCGGGGGCGTCCCGGCTTGGCCGAGGGCGTCGCCCGCGCTGGCGTCCCGGCTCTCCCCCGGAATCGCCGAGCGTGGGTCCTCCTCCTCTCCCTCGGACGGCGCAGCGACCTCGGCTCGCTCGCCCGGCCCCTCGCCAGCTCTCTGGAACAGCGTGACGGGGAAGCTGCCACCCGCGTCGCCCTGGCCTTCCAGCAGGGGCACGGGCAGCACCGTCTGCACCACCTGCCCGAGCTGCCCGGCGTCCAGCAGCAGGGGCCGGGAGGGGTCCACGGCGATGGCGTAAAGCTGGACGCCACCGGCCTCCCCGTCCGGCTGGCACGCCGCCTCGCCCGCCAACGCGGACACCACCGCCTTGGGCGCCCCGACCCGCGGCCGCTTGGCTTTCCTCTCCGATTTCTCCGTGCCCTTCCGCTTCTGCCAGGACAAAATACAGACGCAGGAAGATCAGAATGAGAAGCGGATACTGAGAGGAGGGGGATCACATGTGTCTGCTCCTCACAAGGAGCCTGGCCAGATGATCACAACCCAGCTGGGCAGCTGCTCCACGCTCCCACAACTATTTGTGGAAAGAAGTGCCTCCTGATCTGCACTTCGCTGCTTGTATCCTTGGGCTTGTCTTTTGCAGGGTTGACTTGCTCAGTGGCTTTGAGGATTTAAAAAGCTTTTATCCGGACCCTGGAGCGCCTGTCTGTGTTGGAGACTACCACCACGCTGTTCTTGTATTCTGTTCGGTGCTGGACATGCCTGAGTGGGGTGCTATTCTCTGTCATTAAAAACCCCCAGAGTGCTTTTAGAGAAGAGTTGGGTGTTACCCCGGTGTCCAGGCCTAATTCCCCCCTGGCCTTTACCAATCATGGCCTCCTAATAATCCCCAGTCGCTGGCCTGGCTTACCCCTGGGCTGTCTCCGTGCTGGAAGATGGTGGGCACGGCGTCGCTGGCCAGGTAGCGGATGCCCCAGCGCAGGTGGAAGCAGGAGGGGGTGAAATGCTCGCTGCACAGGTGCTGGTACCGCGAGGGCGTCCACTCCTCCCTGCGCATGTTGGCCAGCCACTGACGCAGCCGCGGGGGGTCGTGCAGGGGGAACCTGCGGGCGACGAGCGGACAAGAGCATCGCACCCCGAGACGCCGAGCCGCGCGGACGTGCCGAGAACGCAGCCCAACGCCAAGCACAGATCGGGGCACAACACCACCTCGCTCACCGAGCGGCACTGTGCTGGCAGATGGTACACAAGGCCTGAGCCTGGCGGGGTGACGCCATCGGGGCTGGGGGGTTCTGGGAAGGCTGTTGCCATGGCAGCGGGGAGAGGCGGGTGGGAGTCCTCTGCTTTTATATCAGTGCTGACCTCTTAAAGTCTACAGGCCAGCTGACCGCCTCCACCCTGCCCTGACCAAACAGATCAACACCGTCCCCGTGGACTCGGGTCTCTGGATAAGAAGAGGATCCTGGGTTTGAGTCCTGAACTCCTGAGCAGAACGGCGCACTCGGTCTGGTCTGTTCAATAAAGGCTTTGCCAGGCGAAAAGCATAATTCAACACTGCACTCCGGGGCTGAAGCCCGTTTACAGAGGCAAAAACATTTGATTTGGGGGAAAAAAGCAGGAACAGAGTGTACCGTGCAAATGCCAAGCAACTGTTGCTCTGCTACAAAGCTGTCACGTCTCCTGCAATGTCCTCAGGACAACACTCCCCTCAAGAACGCATGAAGATGAACCGGCCATGTTCCGCGAAGCGCTGCTGTTCTCGTTTTTACTGCTCGGAAGAAAACTGAAATATTTTCAGACTTCACGGACAGAGCCTGTCAGACTCGCACTCCAGGAAGAGCCTTAAAAATGGTCCGTCATGAACGGCCAATACAACCGCACCCCAGCATTTCAGAGCACGTCGCTTATTTTCAAGGCTGTGAAATTTAATTTTCGATTCATTTAAGTTGAATATGAAACGATTGCTTTCCTAACCAGGACGGTAGCTGACGCAACCCAACCGCGGCATGAAGTTTCTCACACATTCTCGACAACAGAAAACAAGGCCGTTCGTTTTCTTACGCAACGTAAACAAGTCGATCGAAGTCCTGCTGGACAGGTGTTAGTTACTAAATGCCCTTCTGACCACGACACGGGGCGGCAGTCATCGACAACTTAACACACACAGACATGGTTAACAGACATATCTCTCTAACGATAACCCCATGGCACTGATATCTTCGCATACATACAATACTACTTCGGCGTTTTACGGGGGCAAATCGATTAACCGCACGAAGTCCTCGTGTTCTGCTTTAGAAGTCTCTCTTTAAAAAGCCCCGGTCTCCCCGCAGGGACCCGGCTGCGAGGCGGTGAGATCGGGGGACACTCGGAGGTGACCCCACTCGAGGGCAGTGAGGGTTTCGCTGCAGGTCGACTCCAGGTACAAGGGCAACACACGCGAGTCTGCGCGCACAGACCGACTCCGACGGTGGAGTGTGCAACGACCGCGGTTTTAACAGAAATAATAACAACAACATGAAAGCGCTTACTTGTAAAAACTAATTTTCTTGTCGGGATTTGGATGTCCGGCGCTATTGCCGCAGTTTGGGGCCGTACAATACTTCGGCATCGTGCTGAGACAGAGAGGAACGAGCTCAGAGTGACCGGACACAACCAGAAATGTTTATAAAATCCGCAGCACATGCTCACTACGTCACACGCCCCTCCGCTTTTCCCGGTGGCTTCCGTACACTGGGGGTTAAAGGCTAAAGGTCACGGGTTGGTGCAGAGGCGCCATCTTTGTGAGTGGCACACACTTCCCCGCTCTCCCCGCCGCTGCCACCTAGCGGCTCCATTCTGCATCGACCCGACGGACGTGATTTCTGCATCCCCACTTTCACGCGTTTTACCTTCTTCTTTAGCGAATGGAACAATGCAAATCCAAATCACCTGAAGGTGTCACCTTTACACCTGCCGAAGTCCTCAGCCCTGACTGTACTTACCGTTGAGACCTCAGAACCAGTGTGTCACCCTCAGTCTGTGACAACTGTTGCCGCTGCTGTTGTCACTTTGCTTTTCCTTTCAGCGCGGAATAAAGCTTGACCTCTTCTTTTGCGGGACCCGGATGGGAGACTCCTGGGAAAGGTAAGGTAGCTGCTGGAAGAAGTGTTAGTGTTTCCAGTAGGGGGCGCTCACCCTGCAGCCTATGTGGGTTCCAACGCCCCAGTATAGTGAGACATAAAAACCGAGGTCCTGACTCTCTGTTGTCATTAAGAATCCCAGAGTGTTTCTCGAGAAGAGTGGGGGTGTTACCCCTGCATCCTGTCCAAATTTCCCTCTGGCCTTTACCCATCATGGCCTCCTAATAACCCCCCTCTCTGAACTGGCTTCATCACTCTGCTCTCCTCCCCACTGAGAGCTGGTGTGTGGGGAGCGCCCTGGCGCACTCGGGCTGCCGTCACATCAACCAGGTGTTAATGATTATTATTAATATTATTATCAATTCTAAAGATACACAGGCATTAGCCTGAGCTCCAGTGCTCCAGAGACATTACGCCGACACATCCCCCACCAGTTGTGCCCCAGACAAGCATGAAACTGAGGGAATCCGCCGAAATCGGAGTGATTCTGAGACCCACGTTTGGCGGCGCATTAGATGAATTGTCCTAAAACAGAACACACACAGATTATCGAGAGAAGCCAATTCCTAAAACCACCAGTGTTTTCTATAATACAAGCTAATAGAAGCAAGACAAAGAACTTCAAGATAAAGGTGTATTTTCATTAAGAGGGGTTGTTGCGAATAATATCTGTGGCGATTTTAAAATAAAGACGGTCAAGAAAACTTAGCCGTCTAAAACAAAACAAAATCCATGAAGTCGAAAGCACAAGTCTATCAATGTATTTGCTGTAAAATGAGAAAGCGTAGTCTCAAACAATCAAACAGGGACAGGAAAACCGCTGGGATCAGGACTGCGACGAGAGCGGCTGCATCGCTGGCTGGCGAGCGTCAGGATCAGATCTCCTCTTTCCCGACTCGCCTGTCCTCCTCCTGACGTGCTCCTCCAGCCCCGTGCTCGGCCCTGACTGTACAGACTGGGGGGACCTCAGCACCAGGGTGTGACCCAGACTGGGGGGACCTCAGCACCAGGGTGTCACCCCAGTCTGTGACCACTGCTGCCGCTGGGCTCATGCGATTAACACAAGAGCACCTAAATCCACCACACAAGCGCCATACAAGTATTAGGAACTATTATTATTATTATTATTATTATTATTAGTAGTAGTAGTAGTAGTAGTAGACTTGTTGTTGTTATTATTATTATTGTTGTTATTATATTTAAATAAAAGTTGCAGCCGCAGAAACGCAAAACCGAAGTACTGTTTTGTGGCGAGTCAGCACACCTGCAAGAGGACATGGTTCCTTTTTGGTCGGGTTTCTTTTCCTGGGAATGGAATTTCTTTTACTGAAATTGTCTTTAAATTTACTTTTACTAAAGCTACGTTTACTAAACCTGCTTCAGTCGAGTTGCGCTGGTATCTAATAAGAGAGTGTTTTTCTAGTTGGTTTTGACTGTCGTGGGGTATTGACACTCTTAAAGGTTCCGCTCTGCACAGTGCCTTATCTTCTGTAGGACTGAACAGCCCGTTGTTTCTGCGTGTATTGACTCGCCATTGCCCATATTGTTACTCCTGTAAATCCTGCAAAGTCTGCGTGACGCGTACGCATCGAACTGCTGAAAAGAACACGCGCGCTCTGACGTGCTGCGGCGTTTGTCCACGAGGCTGGGCCCACTGGTTCTGGCCCGCTTGAAGTCCCCTGGACTTTGATAGCGTTGTCGAAACTCACTTTCCAGGTTCTCTTACTGTAACACGTAGCGTAACCACTACAGCAGAGCCGATGCGTGCCAACTTGTACGTCTCCGGTTTGTTTGACACAGCCTCCATTGCATCTGTTTACCTTTAAAGGTTTTAATGAAAAGGTATTCATGTGTTGGCTCCTGCAATGGGTGGAAGAGAAAAATGCAGGAATCCCACGCAGGAACTTTCCCGTGTTTCCACGGGCAGCCGGGAGCAAGTTCGGATTTCAAACGGTCTCTTCCGGATTCCGGTTCGGTACTGAAGCCTACATGCCCCCAGAGTAAAAAAAAACACCCCGATTCGACGTAACAAATCACCAGAGAAGACATTTTTATTTTTTTATTTTTGTTCAAACATGTACACGGGAATTATGATATACAGTATATATACATCTGTATATATATATTACTTAAAAAGCCTTGCAACAACCTTACTGCACCCCTGACAAAACCGTGGGACGGGGGGGTCTCAAGAACAGAGGGGGGCAGTTTAAAAACCACGCGAGAGGACCGCTGGGCGCAGCGCTCTGGTCAGAGACCGGACACCGGCAGCTCCGCGGGAATGGGAGGCTGGACTCGACGCCCCGTCAGCCGTGACGTCCGCGCCGAGCCGCCGAAACCGTTAGATACCGCTCCCCGCTCCGCGGGTGGGTCACCCGGAGGCTAGCGGGAGGAATAAGACTGATTTACCGGGGGGGCGGGCGCGGTGCGGGTCGTGTACCGTTTTCGCTCAGTGGACACTGCTGGGAATGAACCTCAAAACGCACCGAGGAGCCTTTAAAACCCCTCACCGACAAACCCCTTCCCTCCGGTTCGGCCCGGCCCAGCACAGCCGTCCCCGGCGCTTGGGTCGACTGTGCAGAAACGGGCAGCGAGTCGCCTGACTAAAAAGGCTGTAGTTTGTTTTGACTGTGTCTTGGTGTCAGCTCGGGTGTCCACAACGGTGACACAGACACCAAGGTTTCTTAAGTGCTGGCAACTTCCTCTCTGCGGGTCGGTCAGGCACACTGCACAGGAGCCCAAAGGGCTCACACGCTAGATTAGGACTTGTTTTTACTCCTTGTACTCGCTTTCTTCCCACCCCCCCCACAGACACAATTCTGTCTCATTTTCACCAACATCAGAGGGATCCACAGCACCTGGCCGTCCTCCTATAGCAGTGCTGAAGAGACTAGGAACCAGCTGCACAGTCTCGTACCCGGGCCACTTTAAAGTAAAAGGGCGACAAAAACAGCCTCCAGTCCAGCAGTGAAGGTGACAGGGGCTGGGAGAGACAGGGAGACGAGGAAGAGAGAGAGGGACGTGGGGACTGGGAGAGACAGGCAGACGAGGAACAGAGAGAGAGGGACGTGGGGACTGGGAGAGACAGGCAGACGAGGAACAGAGAGAG